TGGAAAATTTCGTTTATCAAACAGTCAAAAAAGTGGAAAGTGGAAAATATTTTCCTACTTTCTCAAAAAACACGGCCTATCAAACACGGCCTAAGTAATCCTCTCCACTCGTACAATGTACCGTCTCTTGCTCTAATAGAATGGTTACGAACGCATTAATATTCACTCTTAAATCATTTTACAACTAAAAGGTGCCTATCGTAGCTATAAATTCACGAGCCGAGACTTTACCTTAGCCACATTAAATCATTCGAGATACAGTTACAAATAATAAAACCTATATTTAAAAAAAAAAAAAATATACAACTAAGTATTGTAGCAATGGTAGCTGGTCCAACTACCTACCACCCACCCCTTTAATAGTTGTTGCAACTTGGATTGAGCCAATTATACCATAACCACCCATTCATTTTCTTCTCCCCCAACCCCAATAATTGAAACTCATCTAATTTATTTTATTTATTTAATATTATAGGTCATTCAAACCACTTTGTGCTCCTTTTTTTTTAATTCTACACCAAACTCAATTTTGACACCCCTTCACATTAGTTAATTTTTCGTTTTCGAAGTAGAACATGGGCTCGGGATCCTGTAATTCACAAGTCGTTTTTGAAGTAGAACACGGGCTTGCGATCCTGTCATTTTCTTTACCGTGTCATGTCAAAATAGCAACAATCTAATACACGAATTCAAGATCAGGTCATTCACGAGTCCTCTCTTTGCCGTGTCACGTCAAAATAATGTCACGTCGAAGCAAGTAGCATCTACTATAGGTTGTATGTTTGTACTAACTATGCATACAGCTGTAAGCAATGGTCCATCCCAAATCCTAAAATCAAATGGCACACATCAAATTTGTCTCAAAATGTCCTTTCGTTTGCTTGACTATCTTCCAATAAAAACACGAAGATCGAAATAAGTAAAATTACTTTTTCAATACGAAGTGTAGACGTATGGAAACGACAAAACTTAATCGTATTGCTCGAATTGAGATATGTTGGCCCCAACTTGCTGCCCCAATACATGTTTTACGCATCTGCACATCACTCGCATCTTCTCATCCATTAAGAAGACGTGATGTGCCGATACGTCAACATACATTGAGAATAGCCAAGAAGATAACTTCGGAACTCTAAATCTGAGTGCCTTCATCGTACCCTCCCGACATGTTTACGTAAAAGAAATACTAATTGGTGGGTTACAGAAATAATTAATTGAAACAAAATAATATCTTAATCTCAGTCATCAGTACTGTCACATTCCACATAAGAACATGCACTGTCTGCAATCAGACATCATGCACCCCAACATCTTCTTACTAAGCAACATTAAATTATTACACTTGAAATCTTAAAAACTATAGTTGAAGCTAATGTTTTGCTATTTAAAGCAAATTTTGAAAGGTATAGAGAGAGTGATAAAGGAAGAGGAGTGGACAAATCCCAATAACTAGCAAAACTTAGCTGGAAATAGCTGTCCCTCAAACCAATTACTCGCTCCTATCAATCTAAAACAGATATTCTTTTCTTCCATTTCACATTTAACAGTCCCACATAGTAAAATATAAAGAAAATTATATGTTTGATACGTCTTACTAGACTAGCGTTCGGTCGAGTCCAATCCAACTTACCAAACGTGTCACACGAACAGTTTAGAGATGGCATCCAAAGCAATTACAGGTCTTGGGAGTGAAAGAGCAATAACCAAATGGCCTGTGTGGTATGTTACAATTGATGGCATAGCAACAAGGAGAAGGCAAACAGAAGCTTTTGGAGGCACCTCCACAGCAAGTGCAAAGTGAGCAAATCTGAAAACTCCCAAGCTTCCTCCGGGTTTCGTTCAACATCAAAACCATCTCTGTCTTGCCCGGTTCGATTAGAGGCACCATCTCCGCAACCTCCACCGCCGTGACATTTTCTAAGAACCCATTTGCCTGCAAGATCAGAACCAGTTAAGAAAATAGAAGAATGGAATCAAGAAAAGGATTTATAGGTTCTACGAATACTCACTCTAATTTCATGGAGACTAGTGAGGAATAACAAAAGGGAGAAAACCCAGAAAAACCCACCAACAGAAGTAGACATTTCTTCTCAAATTCTTGAATTTTGAATGGAAGAATCTTGAAATGGTGGTGGAGTTGTGAGTGAGTGAGTGAGTGTGTGATAAGAGTGAGAAGGAATGGGGTATGTATATTTTTCTAATAAATAAAGTTGTTTAAAACGGATAGACTCATGAGTGTGGGGTTTAATGGCATTGAAATTTCAATAAAAAGATTTTAATTTTGGAAATTCATATAAGAATTGTAACTGCAATTCTTTCTTTCTTTTTTTGGGATTTTTGGTGGGAGAAAAATATAAGTGTGAAATTGGGAAAGAAGAAGACGAGTTTATAAGCGCAGATGGCCCATGTTGTGGACTTTTGAGTCCATTTCCACGTGGTATTGAAACGGAAGGGGAGGTTGATAATTGGAAAATATAGTTTGGTCCTCAACCTATTGACATTATTTCGACGTCAACCTCAATCTTTTTTTTTTTTTTGGGTTGTGAGGTTGCGAATCTCTCTATTTTGGTGCGGTGTTAGCCCCCACAACTGCTTCCTCCATTAGCCAATGAGCACGTTTGGGGAAGAAGTGGCTTTCTCCCAACTTATTTGACTTATATACTATGGGATTTATATACATTTTGATACACACAATTTATGAATTTTAAAACGTGTAATATATTCAATTTCCGAACTCATCTAGGGTTGGGTAAAATGTCCGAACTGAACCAAACGATTTTTCTTAAATGAAATACTTAAATGAGTATCCGAATCGAGAATCAAATTATTTGGTTCGGTTCTCGGTTCTAGACCAAGAACCCAAAAATCGAATAAGCACTGATTTTTTTTTTTATATTGAATAAATCAATTTCTTTTATTTTTTCTGAATAAATTAATAATTTTTTTCTTATTAAATCTTATTGGTTGAACAATTTAGAGTTTATTTATATTTGTTAGTTGTGTTTTTGTCAATTTTTTCTTGTATAGTCTCTTAGTAGTTAGTATGGAAAGT